ATTAAAGAAATAAATATCAATAAAATTTATCTCAAAGGATAAAATAAAATAAAGAACACTAATCACGTTAAATTCACTTGAATAATCAAAACTCGATAAATCGGCTTTCCGTCCTCTAGAGGTTAAAACATTTTTTCAGAAATTTTTATAAATTTAAAATATAACAAATTTTAAAAATTATTTTGAGATATGATGAGAGTTTTTTTCATCAAGGTTTTATAATAAAAATGTGAAATGTACAAGGATTGATATTTGCGCATTTATACAAACACGTGTAAAATTTAAAATCAAATGTATATATAATGCGAGAATATATTTTATGAAATATATCGAGCATTCAATTTTATGGATCGAAAACTGGATATTTTATAAGTTCCAATGTTGCCAATACTTTCCGTTAGCAATACGCCAATTTACGTTCATGCAGCCAACAAGAACGTTCCTCCCCGTTCTTAGCTTCGAATTCAAATGGTACGACAGAACTGCGATTGGTGTCCCTGGTGATCGTGATACCTCCCTGAAAGCGAAGAACAATTCCTGTATTTATTTAATTTATCATGCGTGTGTAGATAGTCTTCAAGTGAGTGGAGGTTGACGTCCTTTTTGATTTTTGCGGTAGGCGCGGGCGTCACTCTTTACAGGTGATTTGTAACATATACGGCCTCTGCTGATCGTACGTTTATAGATATTTCGTGCAGAAGTTAATTCGAATCGTACTGTCCGCAGACGTCGCCCGATTCTTCAGATTCGCGTGAATCGGAAGAGAATCGACTGACTATTGCATCTCTATCACAAGTCATTATCAAGTCGATGACCTTAATTAGCGATAAATAGACAGAAATTTAATTTTCATCGTTGTATAGTTGTGTATAGAGGTCAACTAAGTGTGTAAAAAAATAAATCATTATCAAAATATCGAACGATTTCGTCTCACTCCCGTATCCATTACCGCACGGAAAAAAGTTAAGGTTGTCACGACAAAATAATAATATTTTTCGCTTATCCATACAAAAAAGTTATGGGAGCTACTCTGGAAGTGACCTATATAGTTACTCCAACCTTAGAGTTTGTAGCTGTATACGGATGTTACAACCGTACTGATTATTTCTAGGTACGGTTTCTGCAATCATATGTATATATTCTTTTTATCTTAAGCGTCACATTTCGCTGACTGGAATGTGAACCTAAAAATTTTTAATATCATGTTTTACCTTTGAAAATAGAAATAAAATCCTCAAATCTTATGCTTTAAAAATAAATCTCACGAGCTTTATCCATATGTAATTGTCTAGAATTGTGTCTACAGTAATATACATAAGAAGGATAACACACACTTTATTGCTGCTGTCTTCTATTGAGAGTTCAGTTCTATGCTGCAATAGAACTGAACTCTCAATAGATAGTACTTGGCCATGCAACTATATTTATATAGAGCTCTCAATCACATATTATTTGTTTGGCAAACTATATTAAAGAGACAACAATAATCTTTTGGTTGAAGCAATTATATGTATAAACCAAATGTTATTTATCATAAGAACGATTGTGAAATCTGATGGACATACCTTAACAGATGTATTCAATGTATCATCAATATAATTTAAATTTACATACATTTCTTTTCCAAATATAGAAAATGTTGTAACAACCATAGCAATTTTTGCCGTGCAACCATTCCTATCAAGAAATGAATCTTGATTCGAATCAAGATTACGAGTTCGATTTCGCGAAACAAATCTTGATTTTCCGCTAATAATTAGTTGTGCCTATAATAAAGTAAATACACACCCAATTCTATTTGAAAATATAGGTTTTTATATTTTATAGGTACATGGATTACATACGCTCTTATATCGTACAGAGGATGTTGCATTATTCCAAAGGGAAATCTGCATTAATAATTAAGATTGTACTACAATACTGACCTGAATTAGCATTCATTATAAAGCGAAAATAGGATAATATACATTTTATTCATGGGCTTCTAAATAATGCTACGACAATGGCGTTGAACCAATGAGTTATCGAAAAACAAATGAGATTGATTTTATAAAGCAACATATAGTACATACATATTTTATAGATAATTATATAGACAGTTCTTAATTTATTACTTTATATGCTAAATATACTGCATATATAGAGTGTATATTAATGAGAAAGAGAAAGAGGTAGAAGATGACATAGAAAATGACTTTTTTTGTAATATTTTCTCGTAAACTCTTTCTCAAGCAACTTTCCGTAATGATATGTCGTTCCAACGCAGCATAATTATAATTTAAATTCACGTTTTATAATTTTAATTCACGTAATTTGTTATTTCGCGCATGTGCGTTTTCTTTATTATTAATCAAAATCAGAAAAATAATTATACACATGATATATTTATACATATTTAGTGGTACAAACTGTAAATTAAAGAATATATTGCAGTAATTTTTATTAAACAAAAATTTTACATAAAAAATTGATGGTTTTGACATTAGTTATAATGTCTAATTTTTTGGGTTATTTATAATTTAACATGGTCTTAAACTTTCCGATTTAAATTTAACATTATTATTATTATTCCAAATGAATTTAATGAGTATTTCGAAAAATTTTACAAAATGTACATATATTTGATGCGTATCAAGAATCTAAAAAAAGTAATTTAAAAAAATGATATTAATTTGTATTAATAATTAAAATTAATAAAATTAATTTGTATTAATAATTAAAACTGTTTGCAATTTAAGTTATAAAAGTTGATCATAATTACATATATTTTAACAATAAAATTATTAAATATTGTAAACTATTTTTAGAAATATAAATCAAATTAATTAATTTAAATAAATAGGAATTTTTAGTGCCATTGTATCATTTGTAATTTCTAATCTTAATTATAAATTAGATTAGAATTACAAAATATCATTTCTCCTGTTCTTTTTTTGACTTTATATTGCCTTTCCATAAAATCAATAGCAAAATCTAGTAACAAATTTCCGAATTAGCACAATTTTATATGTATATATATTAATGTTTTAAAAATAATTGTTAAATAATTTATTTTTAAAATATAGTTTTACTACATTTGGAAAATAAGTAATTCTTAATCATTTCTAATTTAATTGTGATTAAATGTTTGCTTTTATTAATTATAGAATCATGAAATCGTTAAGTGTTTGTTTAATTACTGACTTGAACGGGATACTCTCAGATACATATCTCTTTTTAGGATTTATAAATCTACCGCAATTATATAGTTACAATACATATGTAAATACGTATTTCCCATTTGTAAAACTTTGCAAATACTAAAATTTTGGCATTACTCTCACGTATCAATCTATTTTTATTGAAGGTTCAATGGTTTCTAAATGCTGATTATATACTCAAAATAAACAATGCAAAAAGTTTATCATTTTTGTACTTGATTATTACGTTACATTGCAAATTGTTGTTAAATATATAAGTTTATAATAATATCATTAATGTAAACATTAATTAATTTGTGACTGATATATGATCTTAGTACCCAGCAAATGCCAAATAACATGTACCTATTAGTTGTAGCTACAATATAACAGATGTGTTATATTATAGTTATATTGTATATCATTTTATTTTTGTACGTTACATGTTACTTGATGTTTATTGGGTTATAATAAATGTCAAAAATTTATTTTTTTAAGTTTTATTATTTTTATATAATTACTTTTTTCTTGCATTGTTTCTCTCGGGTACGAAGGATACAGCTATTATGGGTGATCTTACAAGATCTGTGGTCATTAAAAATGTTGGTACTTTTCATTAAATATGATCTATGATCATTAAAGGTATTGGCTGTTTAAAATTTTAATAAGAATGTGTTGCAGTATTCATACGAGCATCACTCTAGCATACATTTTGGATCAAACTTTAGACTTAAATGTTTTTTGCGTGTGACGTATACATGCCGCAATACTGCATATATTGTGCAACTTGAAAATTCAATCAAGGCACGTTGTCATCAACCTCAGTTACATGAAGTTCCGCAAACGTGAAAATTACGGATTAATGGAAGCGTATTTATCGCAAACTTTCTTCTCTCCTACCAAAAATAATCGATAAGTTCATTTTTCGATTTTATCTTTCTGTCCACTGTGTTAAATCTGGGTTGAAGCGATCTAAATTGATAATATCAATTTATGTTTTTTTTTCCTTTTGAAAGAAAAAAAACCGTTAAAAGTTAATTGATTATCTCAAAGTGAGATATATGTACACAGATTTTCACCTTTGAAAGGCAAAAGGAAACAATTAATATATATGTATAAACACATTGCATATATGTAAGTGCGAGCAAAAATGAATCTATACTCTGTCCAAGGAGAAAATACCCGGCGGGATAGGACGAAAACTAATCCCATTTTATTTCTTTTCCTATATAGAATATAGAACGCTATTATAAAATGACCCTTTCTCACGTTCAGCGCGTCGTGCAGCTTGTCAATATAACGGTTAGTGTAACGCTCTTTTCTCTATATACTGCTTCTGCAAACCGTGAGTATTTTCTCACAGAGTATAGTTATTCATTTTTAACAAATCCTAAAAATTGCAGTCATCTCGGAACGACTAGCTTAATTCTGACTAGATTATGATATCACAAACATAAAGTTAATTTGGATTAGTGGTACGTCGAGCAGGAATGTGATTGTAGCGTTTACTTACAAATTATACTCTCAAGCTCCATTAACATTACCATTTTGTTCGTTTTCTGAAGAATACATCCTGTGTAAGCAGTTCTTTAGATTTGCACACGGTTTTCAATCTAATGTACGATTTAATATTACGTATATATGCAAATGCATAATTAATGATCAATTCACGACTTCCGTACAAATGATGACTTGATTAAACTCTCAATCAAAATTTCCCTCGATCAATTGACCAATGACATTTAAAATAAATTTTCAATTTTCAAATCGAGAAAATAAAATATTCAACTTAATAAATGTAACAAAGATTTTAAACAAACTTCAATAAACTTTAATAAATATTTTTTTACTGATTTGTGAGCCTTTTCTATAATTATAAGAAAAATGTATTAAAATACAAGTAAGTGGTAATGTCAAGCAGCTGTATATCCGGTAGTCGGCAAAGGTCGTCATTGCGCGCGCGCGCGTACCGTCGACCGAGTTCGAGTCGGCTCGGACGGTGCTCGCCGCGGCGCAAATATATTTAAAAATCCAACGTGCAATTCGTATCCATCATACGATCGCGCCATACGCCAATGGGCAATACGGCGTGATTTCCTCCGTTTCATTTTCATAATACTGTTTGCGCGATGCCATGACGTTACACGGTAGCGATCCTTAAATCACCCTCGCGAGACTGTTCTCGGGATGCTCGTCCTCTGAGGTTTCCGGTTCCGTGCTCAACTTGCTGAAATCGCGAGGGTTTGGCCGTTTATCCAGAAACTTGAAGCTCCTGCTACGGCGATTCTCTAGCAGGCTCGTCAACTTGAAATTCTCCCGCCTTTCGGCCTCCCAGCGCATCTTCTTGCGCATCGTGAGTAAACATCCTGTGCAATTCAAACGTTTTATAAGTTATCCAAAGAGTTCAGCTCCAAAGAACCGATATATTGTATTCAACATTCAATCAACTAATAACGTAACATCTTACTATGTATAGGTTTAAAAAAGTTAAAAAGTTTTATGATAGGTGTAAGTATTGATAAGAGAAACATTAAATGAAATTACGATAATACATATACTTTGTTCTCTATGATGGGTAAAAGTATAATGGATAAAAGAACCAACAATAACAATGTAGAGAAAAATATTAAAAAGTACAACACATTAAAAAATTAAGATAACATATACTCTTTTGTCTATGTATACAAGGCGTCACAAATGCCTACTCATCTGAACTTGCAGGGATACTAACCATGTATATGTATTATATATATGTATATATAATAATATATACGTATATGTGACCCTGCAATGAATTTCAGATGAGTAGGCATTTGTGGCGCCTTGTGTACGTAAATGATAACTTACAAAAAAAAGGCACGGAAGTGTTCACCTTCGATTTTAATATGTTATATTCAAGATTAAAATACATACTTTTTTATGTACAATGCTCATATGTACTTTTAAGGAATACCCCTTTTAAAAAAATTGGATATTTTCGAAACAAATATCGTTTAAATTATAAGAAATAAATGAATTTTTAATAAAAATTGAATGATTTCAAGAGTATTTTGTAATAATAATAATAATAATAAAAACAATTTTTAATAGTATAACAATATTTTTGAAATAAAAACATAAAAAAAATGTATTATTATTATAAAGTATTTTTAAAACAAATCAATTTTTGTTTTAAATAATTTTCTCTATATTTTATAGTTTAGACTAGATATGATATTCGCTTTAGTCAGAAAATAATTTTTTTAAAGAAATATTTTATCCCTTAAAAGTGTATGCGTATCAAGAATATTCGTCCCATATTTTAATGTCGAATACCAACAGATCAAAATCGGAAAAAGACAGTTTCGTACCTATTTTTATTACAAGAAAAAAATTCAAAGGAGTAGTGCAATACATTAAAGAATTAAGATAATATATATTTTTATTTATGTATACATAAATAACAATAACTTAAATAAGAAGAAAAAAATTAGAAGAAGCAGTACAATACATTAAATACAAAATAAAATATAATAATGTAAAAGATTTAATAAAAGAAATCATTCTAGATCTTCAATATTTACAATTTAATAAATTGTAATCAGTATATACATGTAAAATGCAAGTACATAAAATGCACGATGCTTTCTAATTGGAATGCGTATATACATATATAAGGAACATAAAAATTAAAGTTTAAAGGAACTTATAAATAAAATAAATAGGTTATCTTACAGAAATAAGCATAATTCGAATACGTATAACAGGAATACTATTGAATAATTCTGCTATTATAGAGATTTGTTTATAAGTTTGGGTTTCAAGTTTGGGAATAATTAATGTATGATAATAACAATTCAATGACTTAACGATGAACATAACGGTAAATATAAAACAGTTATTTCATTTTAAATTGCTGGTATCATTCCTAAACTTCAATTATGTATTATAATATCATAAATGGGTGCTTAATAAATATAAAAAATAAATTAACAGACACAGGTGCATAACAAAATTCTACAACAAAAAACAACTACAAATCAGAAGAACATTTATTTCTATTCTACTAATTTAGAGAATTCAATAGCCGATTCATTATAATGACGTCTTTTTTCTCTACCTCGTTTTTGGCATCTCGCTACAATGGCAGCAATCACAATGCATATTGTAATGAAGGAAATGGCTGCTGAGCCAAGGCCTAGGATTAATTTTGTCATGTTAGTCTTTTCGATATCGGCATCTTTAGCATCAGGATGTATTAAGATCTTAGGTTGATGCCGCTTAGTGGATTGCGAATTGTCAGAATTGTTTACTCCTGAAAAGCAAAAAGATAGATACATTTAAATAAATTATAAGATAGATAAATCGCTATATCCTTAGAGAAATTTAATTTAATTTAAAGCACTAATAACAGTGCTTTTAATACTCAAAATAAATAACGTTAATCACTAGCCAATTTTTAATACTTACAATATTAAATTTCTCTAAGGGTAGGACGTAACGTTTAATGACATTGTACCTTGTAGAAATCTGTAAACTTTCTTTTGATTTAATTCTACTACGTATATTTCGGAACCATCCTGCGTCACGTACAAATTATGCGGATTATCCATATCCTCCTTGGGCTGAAATGTCGATAATATCTTTCCGGAATAAACATCAATTACAAAGCCTCTTACTGGCACTGGATTAGTCACGAATAGATCAGGTCCATTAACTAGATACAACTTTTCTCGAGCGTAGGCAACGCTGTAAATTTTTGTACCAATATCACGGTGTTTGTATTCCTTATGGAATGTACCGTTGTTGGCAAAGAAGCACAATATCCTGCCATTTTCTCGGTCAGCTAGAAAAAGGTGATTCGTTTCGTCCGCGAGTGCCAAAGCATGCGCGACGAGAAACGCGTATGGCGAAGGAGGCGAATGTGAGTAGACGGAATCTAAAATAAAGCGAAGGTTAGTTTAGTATATATTTAGATACTGTTTATAGTTATTAATATCCTTTTTTATTATTATTACCTCCACTGCCCCAATGTCGACCCCATTCCAGAATTAATTCGCCATTCTTATTATACTTAATTATTCTAGAATTGCAATATCCATCGCTGACGAAAAAATCACCATTACTATGTACAGCAACGTCAGTTGGTTTACAAAAGAAATTCTCACTGTTGCCAGGGATGAAAGCCGTTCCCAAAGTTATGGATGGCTTCAGTGTGCTGTTTTCGAATGATGCGCTGGCACGACCGTTAGACACACTCGTCTCTGAGCTAATCTGTGCGCGTTTCAATTCTTCTATGTGACTTTTTACGTCTTGAGCATCGAACTTGAATACCTGGTGCATTGCCACATCGGTAATCCAATAATTCCCATACTGATCGATGGTCAAACCGTGCGGGAGATAAAACATGTTCTTTCCCCATTCCACTATCACCTTCCCGCTCTTATCCAAAAGGATTATTGTATTTTGCGTAATCGGCCCTTTCTTGGGATCAAATATATTTTGATAATCAAAACTATCAACATCCCAAATACGTTTCCCTCGGTGAAACACGACAACGTTGCCGTCAGGATCCATGGAAACTGCTGTTGCCTGAGTAAGTTTCAGTTGCGCACCCCATTGCGCGTCCCATACTATATCTGAAAGAAATATAACAAGCATGAGAAGATATTAATCGTAGATTTCGATATGTGAACATCAAACTTACTAAATGGTCGATACTTACTTTTATCGAAGGTATCTGTATTTCCTTGCTCCTCTTTGCCAAAGTGGCTATCAGCTTTTAAATATAAATGGTCTTTTGTATTCTGTTGGCCATTCGGTTGTGCTAAGGCTCCTCTATCTCTGTCATCAGCATCAAAATATTCTCTATCGTCATCAGAATATTCATTTGAACCAAACTTGGTATCAGGTAAATGCTATAATGCAAAAGGAATTTCTTTCTCTTATACGTTTACATATAGTGTTTTCCAGCAAAAGACACATATGGCACAGTGTAACACATAGTGAATCATTTCATTGTTTAATATTGGCAAACAAAAAGCGATAAAAAGATTCATGATGTCAATCTTACACTATCTCTTACCGTGTTAGAGTTCAAGCATAATTTATTAATTATTTGTATAATAATTCTTTCTCCTATATGTTTATAGAATTTATTAAATATTAAGTGTAGCATGTAATAAACAATATATTATACCTTAATTATAAAAACTATATATAGTCAGTCACTTGAATGTAAATATTAAATTTTTCTTTTTCTACAAAATATCTACATGTAATTACCTGAACATTCAAAATATCTCTCAGTGCTGCCTTGGTATGTACTAAAATATGGAGCAAAATTAAAACGGAGCAGATTGTGTCATATCGAAGAGTCATCATTTCGCAGAATCGTCATTAAGTACTTCCGTATTTTCAATCTATCTCAACAATATCCGAAGCACTAGCGGCGTCTGCGATACACTGGATAATATCAGAGATCTTTGTAACTTCACGAGATCACCGAAATATTTTAGCAAAGCGAGAGAATTTTACAAAAATGTCTATGTCACACATTCGGAGCCACGTTCGACAAACTAAGTAACAGTTATTTCCCGCATTAGTGGCACTCAAAGTAATATGCCATGCTCAATGTCATTTGGAACATTTGTTTTATCGCATGTATTATTGCGAAACAATTTGGAGCACATATGTCGGCGTGTCAGGAGAATACACATTTCCAACAAGTGGAGTTGGACATGACGCCATAATATGTTTGGAGTATGTTTTACCAGATGTTCCCTTGCGTGTATTCTTAACTTCGATCGATAGCACAGGTTAGAACGGTTTCGCAACGCTCGCGTGTAAGGGCGCTACGTGTATCGTTTTGTCGATTTACATTAACAGAGGATATATTTCTTTATTGATCACTTTCTTTTCTCTTTGATTATTTTTTCACAAGAAATTTAATAAATTGTAATTGTTACTGTATTGTATTTATATATAGCATTAAATATTTTTAATTAAGTCTTTATTAAAAAGAAGTAAATTCTAATTTGGAATATATATAAAAAAGCAATTTTATTACTTATTATGTTTCTATTATTTATACATTCCATTATTTACGTTTTTAGTTATCATCTTTTTAAGTAAAATAATATTTTTTGTTATTATTTTATTGATACTATATATTCTTTTAATGTGTATAGATATTGTTTAGAAATAGTTTGACGAGATAGAAATCCATAAATTAAAATATCAAAATATTTTCTATTGTGAAATATAATTAACAACAATACTGTTATTTATTACACATTTCTATTATTTACATTTCAATATAGAAATTTTTTTAAATTATAAAAAGTGGAAGATAATATTTTTTTATTGCTATTTTATTTTGTTGATATTATTCTCTGATTTCATACACATACATCATAAATTTTCTGTATAGATGATTAATATTGGGCAATTCTAATATGGTATCTGAGGGTAAAACGATCACTCTTAAGGCGATTCTAAAGTCGTCTGTTTTATCGATCGAACGCGATTATATCGGAAGAGCACACGTC